TTAGTTCACAGAGAAAATGCGCCTTCTCAGTTATAAACGTTCTCTGGCTGAATTCTTCATCCGCGGTAGCCGAGTGGTGAGAGCTGCGTACTACAAGCCTGTAGAGCATAGGTTCGATCCTCGGTTGAAGCGATTGCCAAAAAAATTTTGTTTTATTATTTCTTTTATTTTTCTAAATTTTATTTGATTTATATATTTAACTGTTTTTTATTTTATTTTCGTTTGTTTTATTTTATTTCACATTTTTTATTTTATTATTAGTTAACTTAAATTTTTAAAGTTTAATTTTACTAAAAAAGTCGAAAACAACTAACTTAAAACAACGCTCAATTTCGGTTGGTCCCATACAAGTTGCATGCGCATGAGAAATTTTTATACCCGAGCGCACTTGTGCACAAGGGTATATTAATTTTGTTCACATAACGGTTGTTTGTAACAGCCAAAACGAATCGAGATAGATATAGACAAATGTATACATAAATGATCAGGATGAAAAAAGAAATCGATTAAGCCATGTCTGTCTGTCCGTCCGTCTGTTCGTCTGTCCGTCCGTCCGTGTACACGATAACGAGATATCTCAACGAAATTTGGTATGTAGGTTTCCCTTAATCCAAGGGAAGGTTGGTATTAAAAATGGGCGAAATCGGAAAAATGGGCCCACTTCCCATATAACGGTAATTTTCGGAAATACGAAAACTGCGATATTTTAGTAACTACTAAAGATAATTCACTCAAAATTGATATTTACAACAATTTTTAGACGGAAAATAAGAATATTATAAATTTTTGGAAAATGGGCGTAGCCACGCCCACTTATGGTTACATGTGTATATCTTAGGAACCGCTGCACCAAACTTGGCACAGTTGTTTGCCTTGGTACAGCTTACAAAATCGCCGAAAATTTTTAAAATTGGACGATAACCACGCCCACATCCCATATAACGGTAATTTAGAGAAATACAAAATCTTCGATAAATTAGTAAATATTGAAGCTAATTTATTCAAAATTAATGCTTGCAACAATTCTTTGCCTAGAAATACGTTTATGGTAAAATTTTGGAAAATGGGCGGGGCACCGCCCACTTATGATCACATATATGTATATCGGTAACCATTCGACCGATTTGTACCAAACTCGGTGTGGTTATTGTGCTTGCCACATGAAAGCAAAGCGTTGGGAAGAATTGCCCTAAAATAAATGAAATTGAGTTTGATAAAATACAATACATATCAGAATATTGTTGCATTATTTTATTAAGAAGATTAAAAAGAAGAAAAATTAAATGGACTAAAAGGTAGAAAATAATATTTCGCAGTCCCATAATATTTGTTTTGAAAACTTAGCAAAAGTCATTATAAACAATTTATGAGATTGAAGCGTGGTATATTAAAAAGTTTTATTGTTTTTATTATTAAATTATTTTATTTTCTTTTATGTGTACATATTTTATTTATTTAAAAAAATCGTATCGCTATTTAAAAAAAGGATTGCAGTCTAACCATATTGACTGGGCTGGTAGTGGCATTTCACTCCGGTACGCTATCCCACTACTGCCTACCACGGGAACTCTTGGCTGCTGGTTTTCACCCCTGGCCCGGTTCATCCCTCCTTAGCCAACCTGAATGTCGAGGACTCCTCCTTGACACCCATATTGATGGAAAGCTTAGTGCGGACGTTCCGTCAACATGAACTGGCCCACCACTCAGGACTCCCGGCCTCAGGCCATTCCACAATCCGACCTCACAGAAGCGTGATTACAGAAGATGCCAACCTTCCAGTCGAATGTAGGCAGCCGAATTTGTCTACTCGAGCGTACGCTTTATTATTATCGCTTCACTTTGCCGTCTGCTTAAGTATGTATGTACATACATATTTGTATAGATACTTATGGATGTATGTATAAATACATATTTAGCTGTGTATTATACCCGCTTTCTCTTGCTTGTAGCTATTTTTAGAAGCACAGCTGCGCATTGCGTTCTCTTGTTATTTTCGCCTTTCATACAATTGTAGTAAATATGAGTTAAATGATAAAGAAAATTTCTAATATTTCTGGTATAATAAACTTAATAAATGTTGGAATAAAAATAGAAAAAATGGTAAAAATTAAAAAAATACAAAAAAGTGTTTCAGCTAACTGGGATTCGAACTCGCGATTACGTGAACTTGAGGCAATCGAAAATGTTAATGCATTTCTAAGGTGTCTTAAAAGGAAACAGTATTTACAAAAAAAAACCACATACTTACTCCATACATATGGCTTTTCCACATATTAGGATGATGAATGTGGAGGTTCATTTATTTGGAATGAGATTCTCTGAAGAATAAATGTTGGATTAATTAAATACCCAAGCAATGTCAGCAAGCTTATAACTCGAGCACAAGCCACCGCCCCACTGCCATCACGACACAATTCTCTACCAGTGCTTTGATTCCAGCTGCACCAAACAACTAAGCGTTTGATTAACTAGAGAAAAAAATACACTCATATAAGTAACAGGATGGGTATGTCACACCCGGCCACATTCTCGCCGGGTTAAGGAATTTACTTTTACGTAAAACTAGGTACTGGATGGATTGGCGCCTGATAAACGCTTATGCGTTGGTTGGCCAATGCGAAAATAGTGTTTAAAAGCAAAAACGATTTGTAAAGAAAAAATTCTTAGTTTGGGTGGAAACGACTGAATAGGATAACTTTTGATTTTGAAATTTTAGCAAAAGTCATTGGGGGTTATTCTGCATCTTACGATTACGTTCCCGAATTCCACTCCGCAAAAATCGTATTTTGGTATTCTGAGTTACGATCGAATCGAAAGAAGAAGAGGAAGAGCGAAAACATCTTCGAAATCAGCATCAGAATTTTTTAATAAAACTCAACTCTAAAAATTTTAATTAACCAAATAAAAATTTGATATAAAATAAAGCAAATGAAAATAAAATAAAGTAAAATTAAATATTTAAATCCAATAAAATAAAAAAATATAAAATGAATAATAAAAAACAAAAAGCCCGCTTGTCAACCGTATAACAAACATGCAAGGTATATTTTACTTATTTTTTTATAAAATTTGATTATTTAAACCCACGAAAATAACAATCGAAACGTTCTCCGTCAACAAATGTGCAACTTGGAAAAACGGAACTACGATCGAAATGTAGAATAGGTATAATCGTAAATTTCGAAGATTGATCGAAACGAAACGGAACGCAGAATACAAAAGTTTCCAAACGGAGAAAATTTCGATTCGAGTCGAAATGCAGAATAACGCTGATTATAAACAATTTATGAGATTGAAAATGAAAAGCGTGGGGCGCATGTAACAGACCTGAATTGATATGAAGACTAATATACATATGTATGTATGTGGGTTTATGAATAACGACCGCTTCAAATCGATCTCAAATTTGTAATTTCTCTGTAGAAATTTTAGGTCTATCAGGCAGGTTCTGCAATTCACTTCCGAGTGAATTTCAACCCCATTAAATTTGAATTCAAATTGACTTTGGTTGAAATTCACTCGGAAGTGAATTGCGGAACCTGCCTGTATGTTATGTAGTTTGACTATTGTCAATTAAATCTATTGCATGCGCTCCATGGTACAATAATTACAAGTATTGTCTTCCCAGAGAGCGCATATTCCGATCTGCCTTATTTGAAAAACATCATTGTTGCCGACACTTAAGGTTTACTGCAAGGGAAAAGGGATATTTTCAAACACTATATACCATATATGTATACGTATTTTTTTAAACAAACTTTCTTGCAGAGGATTCAATTAAATTGCAAAAGCCGAAAAAACATTCGATTAGTATTTAATAGATACTCAGGGCTGTCATGGAATCCAAGTCGGTTTTGCTTTTTGTCGGAATTACAAACCAATATTGGTTTCATTTGGTGTCATGAAACCGGATTGGTTTTGCTCTTTTCGAACATAAACAAAACCGATGTTCGAATCAGCTGTTTTGCTCATTTGTGTGCATGGCGGCAATTTGAATGTACATTTTTTTGACACAATTTTTTAAAATTGAATTGTTTTCATTAATTTAAATAAAAGTAAGTGAGCGCAAAATGACATCCGCAGTTATCGCATTTCTGTTCTTGGAAGAAGAAAGTTCCGAGAAGGTTAAAAGAAAAATTTTGAGAGATTGCGGCGATCCACTTGAGCTGCCCGAGACAGCGTAAGTAGATTGTTTTTTAATATGCGTTTATAAATATTTATAGCGTATTTGCAGTTTCATAGCATATTATCGC